TGTGGGGAGGGGAGTGGCAGCTGAGAAGACATCCGGATGCTGGAAGATACATTCCATGGGAAACTCCCTTCCCCCAGCCCTGACACCCCCCACCTTCCTGGCCCTACTAACCTCCCTTTGCCCATTGGGCGGCCCCAATGACTGAGCCAGGCGGCGTCCATGTAGCTGTCAGCCCCTATACTACTTACTGCCTTTTGATTTTCCTTCTGGCTAATCGTGGGTTTTCTTAGGGACATTTGATCAAAGTGGGTTGAACATGACAACTCAGCCACTGGGGCCTGGGGGCTTATGGGCCCCTTGAGCTTGGGAGGACAGCCTCATGTAGTCCTGGGTGGCTGGAGAGGCCACCCTGGAGGTGCCCTCAGACCTGGTGCAAGAAGGTCAGGGACAAAGGCAAGCGAGGCTGCCTGGAGCCGGGCAGTTATTTGTACAAGGCTTTCCAGAGGACTTTCTTAATGAGATATTTGTATTTATTTCCAGACCAATAAATTTGTAACTTTTCAGCGACCTGTGTCCTTTTCTTTAACCTGCGGAGCCAGGAGAAAGCGAGTTATAGATGGGCCTTTTCCCAATGAAGGGATTGCCAGGCCTTGATACCTGGGCTCCTGCTATGCAGCCCCGCCACACCTGGAATTCTGCACTGAAGAGCAGAGCCCTTCCACAGAAATGCTGACGTGATACAATCCACTGTACACCCCAGAGGGGACCCATACATCTTCTAGTCCAGAAAAGACACCTCTAGCTCCCTAATCCCCTGTGTGTGTCAGAGCAGCGCCGGGCTCCAGGGGGGTTCAGTAGCTGGTTTCTCAGCAACCCCGACCCTGGGGCAAACTTGAACCTGCAACCTGTCATCAGCAGAGCACAGTAAAGAATAATATAAGAAACCCTTGTTCTGCCCTCTGGTCCATTTTGACTCTGTGACCTCGTGGGGCCCCATAGACCTGCCACGGAAGCTGTCATTTCCTTTCATAGTTGTTTGAAACCAGCTCTCGGATCACAAAAGAATTTCAACCCAGTTTTGCGTTTCACCCTTTCATAACCACTCAGACTGGTGGGTGCTTTGATCTGAGGGGTCAGGGAACTGGAAGACTTGGTTTAAGGTGAGCCTTCTCTTCTTCTTAACTGTATTTGTTTATTTTTCCCCCTCTTTTATTTCTGGAGTAGAACACATGCAAGGAAAGGGATCCCATTTCTATAGGTCTCTTCTCTCACCGCTGGGTTCAAACCCCTAACCATTCATTGAACAGCCCTGAACACCACACCATAAACCGAAGCTGAAACCCACAGCACCGTCAACTCCATTATGCCTCACGGCGGCCCTGTACAGGGCTTCTGAGGCTGGCAATCCTCACTGGAGTGGGCAGCATCGTATTATACTCTTAGCTGTGGCTGGTGGGTTTGAACCTTGGCCAGGTTATCAGGCCAACGCCTCACACGGCCCCGCAGTCACATGGGCTTCTTTATTCATGCGCTGATTGGGCTAGAGGCTCCACTCATCACCATGACTGTTTTAAAGGGCCTTGAGAAGCAATGACGGAGCAAAACCGCTGGAATCCCTGTGAGCCATGGTACCAGAGCCTGGGGGACACGTGTGCTGTTGCCAGGTCGGTGCCCACCAATAGTGACCCTGTGCCTATCAAAACGTACCACTGCCTGGTCCTGTGCCACCCTGGCAGTGGTTCCCATGCCTGAGCTCATTGATGCCAACACCGTGCCCATCCATCTCTCTGAGGGCCTTCCTCTTTTTCCCCACCCCTGTACCAAACACGATGATGTCCTCCTCCAGGAACGAGTCTCTCCTGCCAACCTGTCCAACGTATGTAAGGCGAAGTCTTGCCATCCCTCCCGCTAAGGAGTACTCTGGCTGTACTTTTTATGGTCCGTGGTACTTTCAATATTTTTCTTCAAGCACCACAGTGCAAATGGGTTGCTTCTTCTACAGTCTTCCTGACTGAGTGTCCCACTTTCACGTGCATATGCGGCAATGGAGACTGCCACGGCATGGGTCAGGCGCAGCTTCGTCCTCAACGTTACATCCTCGCTCTTCAGTGCTCTGCAGAGGTCTTGTGCAGCAGATTTGCCTACTGCAGCACAGCTTTTGATCTCTTGGCTGCTGCTTCCGTGAGGATCAATCCTGGTTCCAAGCAAGACAAGATCCTTGACAACGCCAGCATTTTCTCCATGGATCCTGATAAACGGAGAAAAGATTGCCCATGCTTGGGCAGGAAGAAAGGCCAACTTCTCTTCCAGGCAAGGAAACCCAAAGGGGTCTTTTGCCCATTGGAGCTGTGGCCCTCCTCTCTACCCTTGGGCTCCCTAGAGGTCTGTGTGCACCGAGTGAAGAGACCTTGCTTCAAAGGCAGAGGGGAGGAGTTGCTGGCTCACGTGTATTCAGCAGATGCAAGAAGCGCCATCCTTGGATCTGCAGTGGCTGGTGGAGGAGCTAGCCAGAACCGCAGGACTTTCCGGGAGAGTGAACTATTGCAGGTGTTCATCTGTCCCGGATGCTATTTAAAGGCCACCTGTGGCCCATCTGTTTTTCCAGCTGGGGATCGGTTTCTGTTCCCACAGCTGCTGGTCTCAGAGTGACTCTGGGAGTTCAGCTTCAGCTGGGAGGCCACTTCTGCACTGCAATCAGCCAGCTAGGGATGGCCAGGCCCTCCGGTGTCCCTCCTTGGGCACCGAGTCACCACCTCACTGGCCCTTAGAGGTGGTGGCCTAATTCCACCTGGTCAAGCTCCACGGGCCGCAGGGAGACCCTTTGATGTGTCACGTAAGGGCAGGAAGTGTGACCAAGGCTTTTGGAGTGGGAGCTGGGAATGGGAGAGCAGGCCCGGAACCCAACGGGTGATTTCTCGGTCCCTCAATATAAGGTGGCATCCTGACCTCAGCAGCTGGCTACCTGGACCTGTTGGCTCTGGAGTCTCCAATCAATATCAATCAATTATTCTGTAGAGTCCTTAGGATGGTAAAAACATCTAAGTGGCCCAGGTTCCAATCAATGATGACTGATCTCATGCTATCCCTCCCCTCCACACAGCAAGGGCTCCAAGGAATCCGGAAAGGTGCTTTGGGGAGAGCTGGCTTGTCCCTTACACAATTCAATCCACCCATACCCATCATCCCTGTTACAGAACAGGCCTTTCCAAATCCCTGCTCTGGGAAGCATCCCTCTCCCTCTCCCTGTTGGGTGACAAAGGTTCTCCTTGGAGATGGCTTCAGTAGACCTCTGGTATTCCCAGGCCCAGTACACACCAGTATATTATCAGTCCTTCCTCTTTTTTTTGGTGGGGGCGAGGTAGAATTCCTTATCTATAAGTGGAAGCTATTTTTGCTTTGTAGATAAGAAAGCTCGGATTATAGGGCTTGTCCGGTCATTTCTAAAGCTGATTTTCGCCCAGCACAGAACCCTGAGCCACCACAAATGCCACCAAGGACTGGCACTTTGGTCCACTGAGCACCCAATGGGTCCCAGGACTCACAGGCGTGGCCCCACAGGAGACTCTTACTGCCTGTGGGAGTGTTCTCTCCATTAGAAGGTCCCACTGGACGTACTCAGACTACTTTTGTGATGTCTCCTGTCTGGCTTTCAATTTGTCTACCTCCTCTTTGGCTAGCTGGTTGGCTATCAGTAAACTTGCTTCTGTCGGTAAACTTGCTCCTAGAAACCTCCCCTCTCTATTCTATTTGCCCTGGACCAATAACCACCCCACCCCCTTGTTAGCATTATGTGGGAAACAAGAGCCTGGTGGTCTGGAGTAGAGGGCTGGGGTGAACTAAACTCCTTGGCGGAGCAGAAAGAAGGGCCAGCCGCCCGCCCGAGGGCTGATGGTGCGCTCTTTCATCTTGGAAGGTGTTTTCTCTCAGCCCTCTGCGTAAAAGGAGCCCCAACACAGCTAGCACTCAGAATTCGGGTTCGCCTTTTCCTCTGTCAGGACACGCTTTGGGGAACCCTGGTGTTCTGCTCTACACTTTTTGATCTTCATTCCCAGAGTCCCCTAACCATTTTCTCTGAAGCTCATCTTTCCCTAAGCATCCATCATCTGCTGCTATCAGAAATCCCCCCCAAAGACCACATACATTTTTGTGCGAGCCCCCCAGGGGCTTCCAATAAAAAGGATTGAAAAGTGTATGTCAGAGTAGAGGTGTGCTTGGAAACCATCAGGTGGCGATGTTTGATGGTTGGCATTGCTTCTCCCCTGCCCTTGTGTTATATCTGCTGCCATGCGTGTGAGCTGGGCTGGAACCGGGGTCGGAATCAGGCTGGAGGACCTCACACAGGCCCTGGGCTTCATCCACCCCACCATCATCGACGTGCTTGTTCCTACAGAGGAGCACACAAGCTGGCAGGTCCCGAGCTGGACTTCGGAGACAGAAAAAGACACCAGTCCTGTTTTAAAGAAGCTGGCTGTTAATCCAGGCATGGGGTCAAGACAAAAACCCCGTAGTTAAAGGAACAGGGGTCTATGATGACAATGAAAGCATTTCCCTGGCGGCTGGTGACAGTTTGTTCTTTTCATATTTGCCTTTTTGAAATAGAGCTAAACACATATGCCAACTGCAGTTCTTAGCCTTCGTGGTTAGTTTAGGCTCAGATGGATTAAGTGACTGGAAGACCGAGATTCGTTTGGCTTCTGAAGTCACGACCATTTTCCATTGGGCCACGCAAACTCTTCTACTTCTTTTCACTTCCATCCATCTCTGCATCCATCCATCATC